AAAAAAAAAACAAAGATAGAAGGTAAAAGAGATTACATGTTCCAACTACTCACTGGTCATTCCCGCACTCTTCCGATTTTACCGAAGAGAGAGACGAGCTATTCTCAGCATTAGGAGCTTTTAAAAGAGGATAGCGAGTATCCAAAAGCGTATTGGTGATAGCAATAGGTACATTCTGTTTCGCATGCAAATCGCGTATGATATTAGCATCGCGTTCGAACTGCTCCTTCAATCGTCTGAAACACGTTACTTTAAGATCTAACTTTCAGAAATTGAATTTACAAAAAGCTTGCGTATTTCGTTAGAAAAAAGGAAGGTTCAGCTTACTCGCAGCCAGCACTGAGCGTACTTTTGTGAAGCTCAGCTTCAAAGAGAAGCATCAGAGCATCTCGCACCAATTCGTGTAATTTCTCTGCATTATTTATTGACGATTCCTGAAACTTTGAACAGAACACATCCAGATTAATAAAATAGACAATCCAATACAAATATTATAAGACGGGCATGTGGTAAATCGTCATATAAAAAGACTAGCAGTGATAAGATAATGATCATGACAAACTACAAGCAAAATAAAGAAATAACAAAGCGATGACGCACCTCAGCCTCTAGGATTGCTTTAACTTCATGTTTCAACCTCTTGGTCGAGAATTTTGGGTGTTGATCATTATTCTTAGGACAACTACTCCGACTATCGCGGTTGGCCAAAGTGCGCCTCCACGCTTCTGAGATTCCATAAGCTCTAGAATTACCGTTTTAAACGGAAAAATAGTATGAAAAATGTTAGGGATACTTTAACAATCTTTTTTGACGATTGTTGAATGAGTTCTCCTTCAAAGGATCGTCGGGACTCTGACTTCTAGCTGTTTTTTTGTGCCTAAACATAAGACGTTTTTAAGGAAATAAAGTTGATTGATCCTAAGAAAATCCGATGTGATCAAAAAGGAACAAATGCCGCTGCATTGTTGGGTGGCTTATACCTTCGAAATATGAATAACTTGAGGAAAAAAGTACGAATTTTATAAAAATTAGAAGTTTTAAGCAGATCCCACAATAAAGTCCACGAGAAGGTAGAAAACTGGCTGCAAAAGCAGAAAAATGGAATGCGACATTTGCAAAAAAAATAGAGGAAAACAAGATTTTTTATAAACCCGCTGCTGTTGAAGAGTCCATCAGACGATTTCCTTTTGAACAAACTGTGTGCTTCAAGTTCATTTAAAATTGGCATTCCCGTATCTGAAATAAAGAGCATTTGCAAGTTCGAAAAATAGGCATCCGTTATACGAGTGACATAACTTTGTTCAATGCAGTATTCAATATGTTTTAGAAAATTAGTCGGGAAGTTACAAATACAAAAGAGTTGAAACAAGCATGCTTTCAGTGCAAAGGTTTTCAAAAAAGAAGAATAAGCGATTTATTCTGCAGGGAATGTCCTGCACCTTTAATGGAGCAAGTAATATCATTGTGTCGCGCATAGTGATTGTCTCTTGGGCTTAGTGATAATTATGGTAAGCTATTCGAGTCTAGTAACTTCTGAGGTAAACTAATTTTAGGA